ATGCAAATATTTTTTGTTTAAAGTTACATAGGAATAATATTTACCTTTCTAAATTCACAAGAAATGAGCTAGATGTTTAGCATCTAGTAGAACATTAAAACTGTTTGCACTTGATTTCAGATTAATTTCTGAACAAATAACGTTGTTTTAATTCTAGAACAGACTAATTTGGCAACGATACTTCCTTTTAAAGTAGTGGACAGAAAAGGTTCAATCTGGAAATGTTGTTTATCCTGCTGTATAGCACAAAGGCTGATTTTGAATTATATGGTCTCATTTCCCTTAGTGTCAAATAAGAATTTTGCAAATGGTAATGGTACTCTAACAGGTAAATTAATATTCTGCTTTTTAAAAGGCTTGAAGTGAGTTAGAAAATTAACTGAGCTTACTTTATAGTACATCCTGTAATTTGTTACAATCTGCCTGCTTGTGCATTGGTCCAAACAAGTGTTAAAATGCATAGAGTATGTGAAAAAGCTGCAAGGTGCACTTTACCATTTACCTTTTTGTACTGTTCTCTCTACCTTAGTATACCCATTAAATGGATCATAACAGGCCTCATGTAGTGAATACCAAGGCATGCTTCTTGATCTTTGTTATATGAGTGGGATTATGTATATGTACAAACCAGGAGAATTTAATGCCAGATCACTTCAACTCCTGTCTTGCCTCCAATACCTTTCTGCCCAAATTTACAACCAATGAATAACATTTATCACCACACTAGCTCAGGACTGAGTTTATCCTGTTATTTCCTGCACTTGATCGTTTTGGCTTTAAAACCACCATTAAAGCTGTCTAAATTAAACTGCTTGTGCTCCTATACCATGGGGGAAGAGCTAGTTCATTGTAATGGAGATTTCATTTCCTCCTTGTTGTGATAATGCAGTGAAACAATTCATTTGAGCAGGCTTAATGGTATAGCATTGACTGAAGTTGTTCTGCAATTTTTAATAGCACTTAATCTTTAAGCAGATGTAATCAATGAGTTGTTATATAAAGGAGTAATGTCTGTGTTTGACACGATGCAGTATATCTTTTTTGTAAAGCACTAGAGGGCAAAAAAAATATCAAAATATCCCCCCAGTCATCTACAGGCAGAGAAAGACTTAAAGAAAAGTTATCTTACAGCTCTAAAGTAAAACAAACTGTTGCTTGTGCCTATATCCTAACCTGATGCTTTTCCATCCAAGTACATAAAAATCTTAAAAACTTTCAAATAAAAGGTCACATTCAACCGAGAATGTTATTTACTGCTGTTCAAAAATTGATCAGTTGTAACAATTTCTGTTTTCTAGGTCTTTTGTATTGTCATGATGTACAGAATGAAAGATTGCAAGATGCTTTGTAGTATTGATCATTGTCTTTCAAGAGCCAACTGATTTTTCATTAAAGCTAAAGTTGATAGTTCTTAAAACAACCTCTAGCTTTAAAGATATAATAATAAATAGCTCAGATATGCCGTTGATTGTACTTCAAAGTCTGCACAGCCTGAGACTGCTATCTCATATAAAGTGGGCTCTAGAAAAACACACTTGACTTCCATGCCAGAGCAGGCTGGAAGGCAGAGCTTGGCCTGCTGAGTTTCTCAAAATCACTAGAAATTTCTGTTCCAGAAGGGACTGTTTAATCACACTTCAAATATTTAACCACTTGCTGTTTCCACTCCATGGCAGTGTTTCATTTTATGAATGTGCTATTGAATGATTTGCTGGGGAATTTTGGAATAATGGTTTTGTTGCATGGTAGAATACATTACTATATTAATTCTTGTTTTCTCTTTAGTGAAGTTGTATAGTCAAATCTCTTCTTCAGAATAACACATTTCTGACCTTTATATTCCAATGTTTTGCTGTGACTGGGGTCTAAAAATTGATTTGATCAGATATTGCAGCACTAGACTAACTGCTACAATAATGATATGGAGATTAGCTGAAACACATCCTCTTACAGTGTCTCTCCCTGTATTTTTCTTGCAGCTGAACGAGATATCAATGTTTTCTGTGGAGTACAGACAATTACTATGAAGATAAATTTTTGCACCGTTCTTTTCTCTGGTTATTCTGAGACAGATCTGGCACTGAATGGGAAACATGGGGATGCCCACTGCAGGGGTTTCATCAATAACAACACCTTTCCAGCAGTGGTCATTTTCATCATCAATCTGAGTACTTTGGAATCCTGTGGAAACACTTTAGTGGTAAGACAAGGTCAAAGTGAAATTGTAGCATGGCTGTTTATGCACAGGATCAAGGGAATGGCCATGACAGCATTGTATCTTTTACAGATAATGTTTACATTTTCTAGCCCAGCTAGCAATATATTGCATACATCAAAGAAAACCAGAGAAAACTGGTAATTTATAATCTTGATTACTAATGAGAAAATGTGGTGGGACACACATTTTTTTCTTTGATTTGAAAGTATATTTTTCATTTTACTATTTTTTTTTTTAGTGGAAAAAAGAGATTTTTTTTTTTTTTTTTTTTTTCCCAAGCCATTTTTAAAACTATTGCTGAACATGCCTTAAATTTTGCTGAAACTTTTCAAATACCTATTTGGAAAATGGAAGTCAAATACTTTAAAGAGTAGGTTAGATCGATGAGAGTTATAGTCTGGATACCTACTTCTGTGCTCATGTAAGAGGGGGGCAGGCTGACTGATCTTATATGTTCTATGATGAGGCAGTGACTGGATGTGTCACGGGGGGTGGTCTGACCAGAGGGCCCAACCCACAATAAGCACCTCTGCTAGCAGTACCTTGGGGTCTTGCACCTCCTTGGCAGATCTCAGCTCAGTATGGAACTGCCTGACAACAAACTAAAGTTGTCAAGCAAATTTTGACATAAAAAGAGGTTATCTAACCTATGCATTCAATTAATGACAAAAAAGTCAAGATGTGGGACTGAAGTTCAGATTTGTATTGGTCAACTCTGATCTCTTAGTGCACAACCAGTCTGTTGCTAATCCTCAGTTGTGGGTGAGATTTTGGAACCAGAATCTGATCCAGGAGCTGACTTTGAAGTCTGTTTTGTACCAATATAATTTCATTTTCTTCATTTAAGCTATCTTGCTCTGAATGGGTGAAATGGGGGAAGTCAGGTCTCAAACCTTTTAAACCAAGGGAGAGGAGAGTTGTACAGCTTATATCACACTGTACAAGCAGTGATGACTTGTATCAAAATATCTATGAATAACTTACAAAAAATAAGTGTAAAAATGTATTATTTCTAAGGCTTGTACTCTATCTGTAATTGCACTTGATGATACTTGCCAGTTCTTATAACAAACCCCTTGTTTTCTGTTGCTAATAATTTTGTGAAACTGGGCTGAAATGTTTGATGTGCTCTGTGACCTATTTGCCTCAGGCTGAGTTTTCTTTTAAAATTTCAACAAAAACCAGTTTAGTAAGTTCAAGATTCTCTTTTCCCATTTTTGCTGAAAAGCTGTAACACCTCCATGACTTGCAGTAGAAGAATTTGCCAGGAAGCAACTTTTTCCTATTCTCATGGAATTGGTCACGTTGTAAACTCCCTGAACTTGCTATTTGATTATAATTGTAAGAGCTTGATGTTTTTAAAAACAAACAAACTGAAAAACCCAGTCTAGTAAGTCCAAATAATTGGAGCTCCCCATGAAGCCCCCCACAAGGCTGTACAGGATACAAAGACCAAGTAGCAGCTGCTAAAAATATAACCAAAAATTCTCCTCATCCTCTCAATTTATGCATGCTGTGCCAAAAACAAAGAGGATAAAGGAACAAGGAGCATCTCTTATCATATTCCCCACATGGAGTAGTACAATCCCATGCATTTATTGGCTGTGTTTCACAGCCAAGACCTTCAAACTCATTTTCAACAAAAGTAAAGGAAAGGCACCACTTCAAGCAGAACTAGGGTAAAACCCCCAGGTCTGTCTGTAATATGGCAGACACAACTTTTAATTTTTTGGGGGTGGGATGGTGATGAAGTTAAAGTAGCTACATGTACTAGAGCCGTAGTTAGCTCTACTACCTCAGTGCTCTAGCCTCTGTTTCTTTTAGGCAAGGAAGAGATTCTACAAAATTTGATTTTCATAATTTTCCTGCTATTTAACAAATGATTAGGTGTCCTATTGGTGAAGTGTACGGCTGCACCTAATTCTAGCTTTTTTTTTTTTTTCTGTAGCCAAAGGAATCAAAATACCTGCTGTGTATCCTGGGCTATTTAGTACAAAATGTTACAACTCAGGCACGCCTCAGGATGATTCTTCCATAATTAAATGTCTTTTTAAGAAACTGTGTATTCTAAAGCTCTTGAAAGCATCCATTTTGCTAATACAGTTATACAAAAGAAATGCTATGGTGGAAGCTCAGTGCCATGTTAATTTGCCTTATTGTGTATGTGCCTATTGAGATAGTAATTTGTGATGCTTATCTGCTGTTTTCAAACCAGCCCTGTATTCAGATCTGTAGGTACAGATGGAGTGGGGCTGGGCTGCTACCAGGAGGAAAGGGTGGGGTCCTTCAGTTTTCTGGAGAGCTGCATGGTATTGCTGGCTCTGTAGACTCCGAGCAATGCAGGATAGCATGTGTCCAGGGACTGAATTGAGGTTGCATTGGCATTAAGGCTGTATTACTTTTCAATTCTTGCATTTCTGACAATATTTCTTTGCCCATAATTTATAATTTAGATTTAGAGATGTATGATGTAGACAAAATCAGACTCAAGGTTCAACTATTTGGCTTCTATCTGCTTATAAAGTACACTGGTTTTGATGTGTCAAAAACAAAGCTCAAGAGTGACAAGAGTATTGTTTCTGTGAATTAAATTGCTTGTGTATTGACTCTATTATTGCATATGGAAGCCCATTTTATGGTAGTATTTTTTTTAACTGTAGTAGAAAAATTCCTTCAGCTTTTCCCAAGAAGTCACATGAATTCACTGGGAATGCTCCTAGCAAGGTATCTACCACAAAACATGCTTCCAGGATTCATCAGACTTTTTTTTATTTTTTATTTTTTTTCAAATGTTGATCAAATCCTTGTTTTAAGAACAAGGATATCGCCTGTGAACTGTATATGCATAATTTTGGGGAGGTGAAAAACAGAACATAGGGAACATGTTATTAAACTAAATGTTGAAGAATTTCTGGAAGATATCTCTGCGTAAATTATGGGTTAAAGCATCAATGTCCTTAGCTTTCTTTTGTTTCACAGCTAAATTTCTAATAATAGTTGTTTTCTTTGTCCCTTAATAGGTATCCTCAGCTCGAGGTATCAATGCTTATGGAAATACCTCAGTGGTACAGATAGGCAATGTTTCAGGCTATATTGATACACCAGACCCACCAACGATTATCAGCTATTTACCTGGGCTTCTGTACAAATTTAGCTGTAGCTATCCACTGGAGTACTTGGTTAACAACACCCAGCTTGCTTCGTAAGTGTGCCTTTCATTTCTGTGTTTCATTCCCATGTTTATGTAAGCCCTTATATATGTGTATATATGAATACACACCTAAATATATGCATGCCATAGCACTATTGTCAACATCGTGATTTTTAGCTGTGTTGAGAGTAAAGGGAAAGAAAAAAAAACACTGAAAGAAGAGGTGATGCAAAGGAAAAGAAAATTCTGTAACACCATTGTATGAAACAACGTGGTTTATGAAGAGAGCCTTAGATAATGTAAAACTTCCCTTAAAATTCATATGCTCTGATGACAAAATGGTAGCAGCAAAATAAAAAAAGGAATTCTTCATGAAATAGTTTGTAAGCGTGTGAATATAGAGTGCAAGAGAAAATATTTCAATGAGTAAACCTTGTACACCATGAAAAATGGGTTCCTTTTTGTCACTTTGCCTCTCTGCTAATTATTTTTCTGATTCATGTTTTCAGCAGTATCCATTACTTTCTGCATAGTTAAGGTTCTGTCAATGTTTCCACTATAAATTCCTATTTCTGAAGTTTATAACCCAAATGCATAAGTTAACTCCTTGTGACATGAATCAAGTTTTTTTTAGTGATAAAATCCACTGAAGTATATAAACACAAAAATAAGATATCTTTCATCATGATATTTTTTTGGTTTGTGGTTCTATTGTAGGTCATCTGCTGCTATTTCTGTAAGAGAGAACAATGGTACATTTATCAGCACTTTGAATCTGTTGCTTTACAATGTGAGTATAAAACACAGTAGTATGACCTGGTCCAAATCCATCTTTGCACTATGTGGGTGCGAACTGGATTAGCAGAGCAAAGTATTATTCAGTATTTGCTATTCCCTTCCCACTCCTCCTGTGAAGAACCAAGCCTTTCATCCAAGCATCTTTCATCTCTGACTTCCCTTGTCCTTTTCCTTTGCATGTACCTGTTTTCTTGTATTTATATAGTTGGACTTTGAAGACATAGAGAGTCTTTTTGTCCTGTGTTTATACAATTCCTCGATTTACAGCTCTGTCTTTCAGGTTCTAGTGCCATGTTGAATAATCAGTTGTAGTAGTAATCATACTCCAGAGTGCATGCATGTGTTTGTATTTATTATGTATATGTGTGTGCATGCATATTTCTATATATGAGTGTGTAAATGTGTATAGGTACATTGACGCAGAGAGTACTCTGTAGAATTCTGTAAAAAAATATTCTAGACCTATTCCCTTTAGCAATAAACTTTAGTGCTCTGGGGCATTTTTATGTTCAAGCCTCATCAGTATTTTGATCATCTGTAATTGTAGTGAGGGATGTGAGATTTGTTCCAAATCTATAGTCCACTGTACTCGTTGCCTCATTGTTGCCTCGACTTTCAAGATTTTAAGGGTAAATTTTAACAGCTTTCAACTCGCACATCTTCCATATGTTTTAGATAATTTAACTTGAATATGCATTATTGTGTAAGGTTTTACTATGTAAATATGGATGGTGACAGTAAAACGTGAAAAATGCACAGACCTCTACTTAACAACATTAATCCCTGAAATGATATTTCCGTGTTGATTAAAATTTTTATTCATACATTTTAAATACCTGATTTAAATATCAATTTTTCAGTCTATCAAGCAACATTTTTGTAAATTATGAATCCAATTTTTTTGCATTATTATTCATGCCATCCTGATGCTGAGTTGTAATTCATGCAACTGATTTAAAAGTCAATGCTTTATACTTTGAACATAATGAGCTATAAATATTGTAACAGGACATTTTCCAAAGGCATACTTAAAAAAGAATTATGTTTGTTTGACAGAGCAGAGCTCTAAATAACAACATATAATCTGTTAAAATGAAGATTATACTTCTCTCACTTCTAAATAAACCTGTGATGAAAAAGATGGGGCAGGATGAATGTAGCCAAAGTTCTCAGTCAGGACAAGCATTGACCACCATGTTTGCTGTCTTCAGGGCTCGGTTCTGCACACAGCTGAGTATAAATGCCATTGATGCTTGTACTGAGCATATTTATTTCCTCAAATATCACATGCCAAGCTGGGCTTTCATCCTTCCTACACCAGTGAGTTTACAAGTCGACCATAAACAGTGATGTCTTATCCTTCTGATTTCAATGGTATTACTCACTTTAGCAAGTGGCACTAGCATGAATAATATGGCAAAGGCTGGCAGATCCAAGTGATGGATATGCCCTCAGGTTTGTATCCTAGGGCTGGGTGTATACGCCCACAGCTTGTGTGTTGCCTGCAGTCTGTCTGGTTGGGAGTGTCTCTTGGGACACCCATGGTCTTGTGAGCTCTGATCCTGTGGGCTCAGCTGGTCCCTGTTAGGGAGTTCTGGTTTTGGGAGGGCCCTTGAGGCTCCTGTCCACTCTTCGTATTGGCAAGGAGTTGTGCACAGATGTGGCTCTTGACTGCCAGCAGCCATACTTTCAAACTTCAGCTGTACTGTTACTTCCTCATACTGACTCTTCATCTTCTCAGCTCACCTCCATGTTCCCTCACAAAATTATGTTTACATTTACTTTGTGGTGTTAGCATTAGGAAAGACAAGAGGAGTCATTATAATGAGCTCAGAAAGAGTTTAATAGCAAAACGTTTAACGTGCTTCCACAGAGCCTAAGTGGCTACGTGCTTTTAGGCCTTCCTGTAAATGTCTGTCTAAATGAATAGAAACTACTCTCTAAGAAAAAAGAACAACTATGGAATGTAATAGTGAGGGACTTGCCGTAGACTTTTTAATCAGTTTGCAAAATGTGACAGAGATACGTATTAGGGAAATGTATAATTAACTTTAAAGAAGGCAAGGTTACCTGATCTGACCTGAATGGATCTTCAAGGATCTGTATATGTTTTGGAACTCGTCTGTGTGTGTGTGTGTGTGTGTGCCTCCCAAGGCCTCTGATGCTGCAGAGATCAGATATGGATTGAAAATTTTGGTATTGTTCCCTCTGAAAAAAATACCTGATTGCTGTGCTTAATCCTTGTCACTCTAAGCTGCTGCTCGTGGTCTTGCCTGCCACACTAAACCTGGTCAAAATTCTGTTTAATCAATTTTTTCTTATGTATTGAGTGTTTTGACCTTTCACAAGAGGTCTCAACGTTCTGAGTCCCTGTGCTTTCTGCATTAGCAACCTGTTTGACATAGGTGATGTTACCAGTAAGTGCATTTTGATATGCTGAATTAACATCTGTCACTCAAATCTGTTTCATGGCATTGTTGCTAAAGTGACATTAATGGTTCAGCCTTTGAACAAGAAACCTATAAAACAGCTATATCTATGTAGTAGTATATGGGGAATTCACTTCTATTATTCAATATAACTTCTGTGTTATATAGAGCTTTCTTCACACAGCATTTTTGAAATATTAGAATTTAAATGAAAGTGTTTGTTACATGGAGCCTTCACCAAAACAACTTCCGTAGAAACTACATTTTGGGTAATAGAATGTGCCTATTCTCCCAGGTTACAGTTTAAGATATATAAAACCTGGTGGCATTGCTATCTCCACCAGATCAAATAAACTTAACAAGTTTTCCTGGGAAAGGGTGCACTGTGACAACCCAGTAAAGCTCCTCCTTTAGAAAAACAGTCGCTATGTTTGCTTGTAGGTGCTGGGAGATATACTGAGGTGTCAGTGAGTGATACCTTTCCTTTAATCACTGGTCCAAGCACTTCATAAGATCATAAATAGATTCCCCAAAACAGTTGCATAGGATAAGGCCAGTGAAGTGTTGTTGATCTTTACAGACAAACTTGTAGGCAAGTGCTATGGTACTGCTTTTTGCTTCTTCCTTTATGGAGGACAAAGTAAAGGACTGTCATACATAGAAAGGTCAGAAAAGTTAGGTGGGAGTTCAGTCTGTGGATGCAGATGGGTTGTTACAGTGGGATTTCTGGTACACTGAGGCAATGTTTGTTTTTCAGGATTCAACCTACAGCCAGCAGCTCCTTATTCCAAGTACCGGTTTACCTTTGAAAACCAAAATATATGCAGCTGTAAGAGCAACCAACCTTGATGGCAGGTACCATAAAATGATGTTATTTCTTGTGTTTCTTGCTATTCAGCTCTTAGTGTTGCAATTTTTTCTGATTTAGAAGCAACTGTCTTTCCTCATAGCCTTTTGTATGTTAAAATAATGGTTGGTGTTTGATAATCACTGCCCTCAGCTGGAGGGTATCAGGTCCCCTTGATGGTGAATGCATATCTTGCTACTGTCCTCATTATGAAGGTTTTCTTGAACTGTACTTTAAATCCTATATTGCTGTTATTTACAAAATGGCCTCTGTAAGGTCAAGTAAGAAACTCCAAGGCTTTTAAAAGTGGGATGGTTTTATAGATGGTTTCTAGTCCTATGTGGCTGTACTTCTCAGAGGAGGTATATGATATGTGTGTTGGTATAGTGGTTGACTTGCATGAAACAAAATGATTAGTTTTATACAATTCTGCTGTGGTGTGGTGCTTCATTTTGCAAGTCATGGACAGAAACAGGTAATATATTGAGAATGCAGGATGACTTGTACATGACCTTCTAAATACAGTAACTCAGCTTCAATATAACAGCCTGCATTATCACTTTGTACACTTGCCTGTATTGTCTTTTATCCTATCTCACTCGCTCTCCACACCTACTCTTATGTTGCCTGTTCCCCTCATCTACCACTTTACTCCCTGTGCAGGTGGAATGTTTTGATGGACTACTGTTACACAACGCCATCTGGTAATCCTAGTGATGATCTTCGATACGATCTTTTTTTCAGGTAGGTCCTGTGCAAACCCAGTGTTTTGTGGGTCCTTCCTTTTTAAAAACCAAAACCCAAACAGTTAGAAATCTCTCCAGTAGCATTGTTCTAAACTACCTAGAAATTCTAAGCAATATTAGCAGGGAGGACTGAGTGCTGGGCTTACAGATAATGTGTCAGGACTTGCCTTGTTTGGGAACATAAACATAGAAGCAAGTGCAAAGTCATAAGAATGATGAAGGTCATGAAGCATATATCTAAAATGGCTCACTAAAGATACCATAAACACCCAAAGTCAATGGCTAAACTGGTCTTTGTTTTAACAAAAGTACTCTTGTGAATGACAGTGATATAAAACATCATAGACTCCAGTTCAGAAAAGCAGTTAAGCAAATGATTAAAGATAAATAGGTGCTCCTGCTGCTACTCCCAGTAATAACATTTATTTGAAATGGAACTTTGAAAAACATCTTGGCAGTATCTCAGATTAAATATTATCAGTGACGGTTGCTGGAGAGCTGCTGTCTTCATGTAGAGTTACCTGTCTATACCAGTTAGCATACCTGATTTACTTTTTGCTTCAGGTCTGAAGTTTCTTTGGGCACTGGAATCAAATGATACCTTGGTTATAGCTGTGATGTTGAAAAACAGAACATAACGTTTTTGTAGGAAAGTATTTCAGCACAGAACTGTGCAGCATAACAGATGGATTATGGATACCCCTGTTGGACTTTACTACACTGTGTTCTTTTCCAAGGAGCTAAAGCACTGAACTTGCTGCTTAAGTTATCTTATTCTCAGCTAAGAGCTTCAAAGTACTAATCATACAGCTGCTCATCCTACTTTTAATCTTCTCTACAAAAACTAGCTGTGACAAGGACCCGCAGACAACTATAATTGAAAATGGCAAGAGCCAAATGGGCCGGTTTTCTTTTGAGGTGTTTCGCTTTGTGAAACACAAGAACCAGAAGATGTCTACGGTCTTCCTTCACTGCGTGACAAAACTGTGCAGAGCAGATGACTGTCCCTTTCTTGTGCCAGTAAGTTTCAGTGGATGGAAGTTGCTGTTTATTATCTGGATATAAATAGGCACACTGGAGTTATTCTGCATCCAAATGCTATGGAAGTTTGGATGGCACAGAATGAAGGTGACCTGTCGAGTCTGAAGTAAGAATGTTTTCTGTGTCTGTAGGAATGTAAAACAACTAATGATGAATACAGCAAAGAATATTGTTATCTCAAGACAGAATAATACTAGTCCTGCAAAACACAGGTTATTGAACACCTGAGAAATTACCTCTTTGCCTTTTGATCCTTAATTATTTTTTAGAAATAACTCTGAAACAGCTTCAGAACTGATATTCTTGGTATAGTATCTAAGAAACAAGGTATCCACAACCACAGTGAATGAAGATTAATATCTTAAAATAGAATTTATGGAAAACTCAAAGCTCTAGTGAGTGCAGTTATACTGTCAAGGAGAATGAAAGTTTCTGATAGCAAAAAAATCCAACTTACTGCATCCCCTCTAGTTTATTACCACCTCCCTTATAGTCTGGAAACTGCTGTTCTGAAGTTCATGAAGTTGTGTCACCTCAACATTTTTTTCATTTTAGGAGTGTCAGGAACAAGTATATTTTGGAAATTAAAACTTTTAAGTATATAAACACAGAATATTCTGTGTTGATGTCTTTAGTATGCAGCACCATTGAATGACTTTCCATTTAGAATTTTAAAATGCTATCAGTTCAGTATACTTCTGACATTTTGTACATTATTTCGTACTTTTATGTTACACTTTTAAATAATTCATTTTTTCTATTGAGAATTTATGTTCTGAGGTTTTTGAAGTTCTTTCACAAGAAGCTGAAATTAAAGAAATGCTCTTGGTTGAAGCATACTTGAGTACTGAAGATTAAGGTAGATGATAAGTTAGAGATGTTAAGGGTGGATTCCAGATGAGAGTGCTGGGGATTGTTTTAATTCGGGTCATTGCCATTTAGAACTCCACAGAAAATGTGTGAACTTTAACTTGAGAAGCTTGCTAGTAGAATAGGGATTGTAGGATGTTGTCTATCCCTAGTCAAGTAAAACACATTTTTTGGGGGGGGAAAATTGTCTGTAAACAAAGCTTGGGGAAATTAACTACTGAAAATTTAATATACTATAAGATGGATCTTGTACACAAGAGCAATGTAGTTCTGTAAACGAAGCGAGGCAAAATACAACAGGAAGACAGGCATTTATAAGGCAACATTTCTAGGGAATATTGCAGCTGTTTTTATTGCAAAGTAAATTAATGCATAGTAAGAAAATCAAAGTTGTAGTATTGCTTATAAAAGAGTTTACATTAAAGCAGGAAGCACAGAAGGGCAATAATTCCATTCCACTCTGAAACTGTGATTGTTTTGATTAACCACTCAGATTTGCAGTAACAGAGAAAGAAGAGATGCTGGTGGGAGGACGACTTGGAGCCCTCAGAGCACCTCTGGCAATGCTGTAATCTCTGCTGGCCCCATCATTACAAGGAGCGGTAGGAATGACCAAACTTTTCCTGTGGACTGCTGGAATTTCAGAAACCTGGGGAAATGTTTTGCGTTTTAATATCAATTTGCAGTGACTTATAGAAAGGGTGGATTCTCCATGAGTTTGGGTATTTTTTTTTCCCCCTACTGCTGGGGTCTTTGGTAGAAACTTGGAGCTAATATTGCTGTTCATCTCACATGCTTCCTCCCTAGCCCAGTAAAATCACTGTAGGATACTGTTATGCATATAAGGCCATTATAAAAGCCCACACTCAGTGGGTTGACTTCTTTTTTTGTCAGATTTCACTGAAGATAATGGAATTTAAGGTACTGTGTTCAGTGTCGCTATTTAATTTGGACGGCTAATGAATATTTACTGTCACTTTCTATTCACCATTTCTTCCAGCATCACCTGGGGGTTTTTATCTAAACGTTGCATAAAATTAATACATGCTATGCTTAGCCTTCAGCTATAAGAAAGAAATAGGACAAACACATTGTAATTTCAAAACAGTAGGCCAAAATCTACTCTTCTAAATCCAAGGTGAAATCCCATTATACCCATTTTTATTGCCAAGTTGTTTTTTTTTTTTTAAAAAAAAGTAACTCTAAATGCTATCTGCAGTCTCTGAAATGAATTTGTGACTGCGTTTGAGAAAATAAGAAAAATAAAATATTTGAAAAATGTTTAAGGAATTTCATTTACAGATATTTATAAGTAGTTGCAGTTAAGCAACTGATTTCAGCAGTCCTAGATTTAGGAAGCTGAAAGCAGGACTGAATCCTGTCTAGGAAAAATAATTGAAACACTTGAGAATAAAATCCTTCTTTACATGCAAAGTGGTTGTGCCCACATATACAAAAAAACCAACTGACCCTCCAGAACAGGGAACCATCCAGCAAGAGACCATTTTTAGAACAAATACTCTTTGTTATAAGCAACATTTCTGCAATGAAAATGAGTATTCTTGTTCTGCATTATGCATAGTCCCAATTGAGTTGCTGCTATCTGATTATTCAAGAAAAAGTGAAAAGAACTAACATCAAAGTTGCATGCGTGAGTACTTATGGGAAATGAATGACAGATTTGCTCAGACAAACATGTATGCTAGAGAAATGCCGCCTTAGGCAAGGAATGGAAACTAAATAAAGCTTGTTATATGAGCAACCCCTATTAGGTAATATAGCTTCTGATTCAAATGCTGCAAATGCTGTTTTTACAATTAAAAAAGTTACCTTTAATTACTACATAACATCAAGCAAACAAAGATCTGTCCATGAGTGTTTAATGACCCCAAAGAAAGGATAAACAATTTTATAATTTCTTGACAACTGTTAACATTTTGACTTTTTTTAAAATTTTTTTTTTTAATGAAAATGTGAGTAAGACTGGAAAAGGAAAATAATTTTTTGGGTGTATTCTACTTGAAATATGTGGCTAAAGCTTTTTAGATTAGTCATGTTACTGCATCTGTATAGCATGCTTTTGGAGCATCCCACTCATCCTGACAGAAAGATGGTTTGATGGGAAGTACTCTGGAAAAAATTGGGATGCAGTTCTGAACTCTGCCATGAATTTCTTGGATGCCATGGGGCAAGTCGCTTAATCTCACTTGGGCTTCACTTTTCCTTCTGGAGAAGAAAGAAGGAATTAGTATTTCCTTCCATTGTCCCTTCCCATTGTGAAAATAAGTGCATTAAAAATGTGAGGTTCGTGAATACTATAGTCAAGGAAAGAAAAGGAGAAGGGTCATGAGAGAGCTTGAACAGAACCATCTGTTTTCAGATGAAGACTGCCGTGGTGCATTGCAGACTTACTTTGGTGTGATGCTGCATGGAGACACTCATACTATTTTCAAGGCAAACTCTGGTCCAGCTTCAGTACAGATACATTTGTACAGAGCCCACCAAACCTGCTGCACCTCACTCATGTACCCCAGTATTAGGTCTGCAGTTGCATGGATGTGCAGCCCCTCTCTTCACTCAGTTAGGTTGGTGCTGTATCTGTCCTGGGGCTGGTCCTGTGCACATTGGTGTCTGCAGAGGCACCTTGACTTAGCCTCATCTCCTCGTTACTTGAGTCACCAGTTCTTCTGGTAACAGAGCTATTTATGCAGTTACCTTGATAGGAACTGAATGGTGCTACTGCAAACGAGTAGTGGTCCTTCTTCTGTGTATTTCTGAACTCTTATTTCTAACATTTTGTTTTTTGAAGAAACTTTATTCTTGTTTGTTAATCTAAAATAAGTCATTACAGGAGACATACACAGAAGAAAATGTTTTGGTTTCTGTTTATAGAAGCAAAACAGGTACCTACTTGTGAAGGTGAAATTGTGTAGCTTTTGATGGATGTCTCACTTAAACTTAGAAGACAGCTGCTCAAAGCAAATGTATATGTGAGCTGTGGTTACAAGTTGCACAAAAAAGCAAAAACAGTGACAATAAATGTAGTTCTGAGATGGACAATGGTAAGTGAAAACTCAAGACAAAATACAAATGTTTCCCTGAATATAATGCCACTGTGTAACTGTCAAGAGAAAAGTGAGCATGAGGAAAAGGGCATTTTTGTAATAATTTCTAGTCAGTGATGTATTTTTCCTTTTAAAAAAAAGGTTATTTTTTTTTCCTATATAGATCTTTTAATATGATTAACAGTAAAGGGACATACATATAACAACATGCTTATGGTTGTATTTTTGTTGAAGGACATAATAGAACTGGACAGATTTTCAATTAAGAAGTCTGCACTAAGGTGTGGTTTTGGTTGTGATTTTTTATTTTTTTTATTTTTTTTTTCCATAAAATACTAGGTAACTTCATATTGGAATACTCATATTAAAAATGGAGCAATGTCATATAATTAAAGTTGTCCTTATTCTACCAGAGATGTTAAAAGCTACTAGTCAGTGTTGCAAGTATAGCTGATATGCTTTGAAAATAAAGCTAGGACTATTGGCTTTTGTGTTGCAAGGAGGGGAGGAGGTAGGCAAAAGTATTTGTAAAATATAATGCATCCTGGTTTTGTTTTATGCAGATGAGACTCCAACCAACAATTCACAGCTTGGTAAGTTAATCAGAATTCCAAGAAACATAAAAGAGACTTTGAGTGAAACAGAACTGGGGAGATGAACCATTTTGAGCTCTATGCACTGAACTGGAATGTTTTTTTCTTTTTGGCTTGATTTTGTCATTTAAATGAGTTAATACTGAGATGCTATAAAGAAAGCAACTGGTGAAGCTGGAATGCTCAGTTTAATTTGTGTACCCAACCCCACTAACATAGCAACTTATAATTCCTATGATGGAATTTAAATGAAAATCTATTGCTATGACATGAGAGTGAGGGAACATTGCAACTGCCAGATGCAAAATCAGACTTAAGCAATAAAATCAGCTCATGCCACTCAGTACAGCAGCAAAATGGTTGTTATGGTGCAGTCCAGCTCAGTTCACAGCTCAAAGTCAAGAGAGTTCTGTTTCAGCTCCTCTTCTCCTGGCATTTAACCACACAAAGAGCCTATGGAGAAGCAGAGATAGAACTTGTGGTCTGCTAAGGCAATGAAGGAAATAGGCTGTTAGGGAGATCAGGTCTCTTAAGTTTTAGGGTACTTCTCCTTTGGACACTTGGAGGACTTGTTTCAGCCTGTCTGTTACTGTTCTCTGCTGATAACAAGGAGTAGCTAATGACTAAGAAAGGATGGTTAAGGTAACCAGGCAGTTCACTGGGCCATTCTACCTCCTGTTCATAACAGGACCCTGTGGCACAACCTATCCTGTCCTCTGAACTCTATTTGTTTCCTTTTCTTAACTTAGACCGCATAAAAAACAGGCTACCTTTCTTCCTGGCATGGAAACAAAGTTATCCCTGTAATGAATTGCTCCCTGGTGTGTTCCTACCCATGGGTATCATTAAAATAATAATAAACCCCCCCCAAATTCTCCATTTGCTGCACCCAGCTTGCTGTGTTAATGACTGCTACCTTTCCTTTCAATCCAAGGAAAGCAGCAGCCTTTTCTTTCCATCCCAGAGCAAGATCCTTTCCTGTGCTGTCCTGTTGCTGTCCCAGTGGAGAACATAGAGGTAGAGTGAGGTGGGATTAGTACTGTAGTGGAGAGAAAACAAGCAAGGTCAGAAGGCAGCACAGCATTGAGAAGGGGAGAGCAACCTGTTCAACAGAGCTGACTATTTTTCAGCTTTGGTGAAGTGGGCAGGATTGATGATGTTGAGAGCAGGTGTCTGCTTCTGGGAGGAGCAGTCTGGTTTCCCATGTAGAACCTATGTTGTCATTTCACCTCACTCTCCAGCACTGTTAATAACAAGCACGCACTGGTGCTTTGGGTAGCACCTACCACTCTCAAATGTCTGGGTTTTTTTTTCTTCCTGCTGGAAAAGATGGTACAGATTGCATGTGTGTGTTCCAGTATTCAGGAACTGGTCCATGAACAGCCTGTTGAGCTACACTAAATAGTAAATATGTTATGTCTTCTACCTAAGGATTGATAAGCATGTTAAGAATCCTTCTGTGAAGGCACACAGACAGCTTAGCGTAGCTCAGATATCTGGTGCCAGATATGCCTCCTAAGGGTCTATATATGCTTTGAATTGAGATGTGGATAATTTCAGGGAAGAAATCCTTTCATTAACTTGATTAGGCCACAAATCCTTATACCTCTGCCTTGATAGTTTCTTGGACAATGATAATATTGCCTTAAATAGCACAAGTCAAGGTTGGTTGCTAGCATAGGAGGGATCATACCTTAGAAGTATCCTTATTGTCCTTATCCTCAAGCATGATGGATATTGAAAGAACTAATAACTATTTTCAAAGTATATTAGATAAGCTTTATCCAAGTAGACAGGTGCTCCTTCTGAAGTGCAATTTTAGTCCCTTTGTTGTAATTATTCTTTATATAGTGTAACAGACGTGTTCAGTACTGCTGAGAGATTGTAACCAGATCTTTCCTGTGCATTTTTGTTCTCCTTGCAGCTCAGCCAAATGGACCTCCTTTCCAGCTGAACTCAGTCACCAGCGCACTGATTTCGGGTGTTGTCATCCTAGGAATCACAAGCATTTCCTTTTTTGTATGTTCCCTAACTCTTCTGCACAGAAGGTGGCCCAACAGTTCAGTCTTGAGTGGCATCCGAAACCCAGTTTTCAACTGAAAGTTATGATTTACTTGCACTTTTTCTTTGAGGTTGCCTTTCTTGTCTGCAAAATATGGTTCCATTAAAAAATAATATTAAGGCAATGCTCCAGCTGTATCCAGCTTCTATTCCAGCTATTCTGTATTTGTAGATTTGCTAAATGTTGCTGTGTAGGTAAGCAGCAGTGATATTGGTAGCAATTCTAGAAAATTATGAGAATCTCAGTTGTGTTTGTATGACTGTATGACATCATGCCCATGGATGTGCTGACAATAGAGCTTGTGTCTCCAGCTTCCCAGTAAGGTCTCAAAACTGAAGATGCTGAAGGTGAGAACCTTTCCAAGTATGCCATTCTTCTACAAAACCTGACACATTCAGAAACATTCATAAGTTCACAAACACCTACTAAGATAAGGATTGCTTCTGTTTTGTCAGGATATTTTTCACAAATTTGAAAAAACACAGTTGTCTCAGGAGGAACTTGTTTTCATCTATCTTAGCTAAAAATAATACCAGCGAGACTTAGAATAAGTTACTTTTGCTTATTATTCATTTGGAAATGTTTTCTTAGCTATACATTCCATTGGATTGTGGTGATACCATGTGAAGGACATAATTTGGCTGGGTATCTTTGAGTTAAGTAGTTTAAGGTGAACTGTAGTTGGTCCCAGGGGAGAATGCTGCAGTTCTTGAGGTGGAAAAAACTTTACCCAGCAAAATCATTAAGTGAGAATCAGTGAGTGCTTTAAATCTAACTAATGTTCAGCAGAAAACTCATTCTGCACAGAATTGCCATATCTGCAGCCTTTGGTCAAATTCTAGCCCTGGGAACTGCTCTAAGAGGAAAACTCTTCCTTTGCCCCCTGACTCCTTGAACAGGGAAACTAATACAATGCCTAGACTTTCCTCATGCAAAATTATTTTTGGAGCGCAATTTGATAGTTGAGTAAAACTCATTAATGTCCTAATTTGTAAGGGCTGGTTTTGCCCCATGAGTTTCATGGTTCTCAGATAAGGCTTTCCTTTCTATGTGAAGAATTGTAAATCAACACTTAATTCTTTAGCAGATTTTCCACATGGATTAGACTTCGTCACTGCATAGATGAGGGGAAGAGGGCAACTATAGAAGGATAACAGTCCACAAGTGGTACTGTACTGTTGACTCTAGTTAATCTGATGAACATCAGACTTATCTGAAGTGAATGAGAGTGACCAGGTGCCCTCAAACAGGAGCACAGGGTATTAGCATAGCTGTGTAGAATAGACAAAAATGCTGGTACTAGAGAGGCCACTGTAGACACAACATATATTAAGCTGGACTGGATAGACAGTTGGGATTTTGGTCACACATACAGCAATTAAATTTCATTTTTCATGTACTGTACGTATTGGCCTGGAAACACCTCATTGATATTTATCATCATCCTGTGTTAACCATGTCTATGTTTTCATTGATGTGATGTAACTGGCTCATTATCAGGGCTTTTTGGCTCTCAAGACTTAATGACAAATACAGACTTGTTCTCAATTTTCTGTGATCCTGCAAATGCTGTATAAAGGCCTGTTGTTTGCAAAGTCCACTGTGCTGTAGTGTGGTATCCCTAACAACCAATACTGTGCCTGTTTTCCTCCAGTCTTAATACCTCAGAAACATTTTTGCACTTCAGGGGTTAGGTCTGATGACATGTAAAACATGATTGTTTAATAAAATTATTTGAAACATTTCAGAATGGATGCTTTGTCTCAACTGTTTTCCTACCCCTGTCAAATTGTTACAGTTTTGTATGTGCTTTCAGTTGTTACTGAAAATTGTAACCAAGAAAACCCTCTAAACCAAATGATAGTTTAGAAAGTCGACGCTGGTTTATTACAGTGCTGGGTGCATGGGAGATTTCTCCTTTCATAGCACGCACACCAAAAGACAAAAGCATATTCATTATATACATCAGATGTATTAATATTAATGCAATGCCTGCCTATTTTAGTAAATCTAATGCATAGGTTGTTGATAATTAACCCTGTCTTTGTAACTCGGTCAGCAGAGTCAGGATGCACTGGGCTGGCCTTGAGAATCCTCCTGTTTCCTTGCTAGCATTGTTCTCTAGTAGAATTGCTTCTCTCTGGTATGTAGGCTCATTTATCTTATCTGTACACAACTTGGGGGCCTGTTCTTTTTATGGTGACTGAATTGTTTAGGTTTCTGGTATCACAGTGACCTCATTCTACCAAGATGAAAACTGGACATGCTTTTTTAGGTCAGTTTGGTAAGAGCTTCCAATATATGGGATAAATTAATGTGAATATCTCTTTACTGGCCTTTAAAGGAGGGCAATAAACTCTGGAGATTTATATCCTAGTCTGGGGATAAATAAATTCAGATAATCTATTTTAATTTACTGATAAAGACAACCACAGAGATTCCATTAATGTAATTACTACTTCATAACCAGCAGCTTTAGCTGAAAGTTTTCAGTGCTGGGGAGATAGCCATTAACTGTCCTTAGTAAGTTGTTCCAACACCTAACTGCTGTCTTTAATACTTTATAAAAGACTATTTCTAATGTGAATGTGCCCAGCTTAACTCGCCAGCCTTTAGACACTGTTGTGCCTTTCTCTGAGTCTCACATAATTTGATTAAGACCGGATGAAAAATAATGAATGGTGTTTAAAAAAAAAAAAAGCTGCTGTGTCATACTTGTCCTGTTTCAGTTCCTCTGTATTTCTGGAAAGACAGTTTGTTGCTTTTATATAGTGAAAAGTAATTTACAGTAATTAAGAAATACTTGTTGACCAAACTTTTTGAGACTTGAGTAGCCTATTAAAAAAATTGAGTTGCTACCCAATAACGTAATACACAAAATATTTTTCTTATATTAGTTAAAATTTCTAGTTTTTTTTTTTTTTTTTTTTTTTGTGGAGAACTGGATATGATGATGTTCTTTGTATAACTTTTCCTCATGTGAAAATTGTTAGGTACCAAGGGGTGACTCCACACCTGTTAAGTTAGTGAATGGAGTTCCCACAGTCATGTGCAGGAGTCATTACAGAGCTTGCTCTGGATTTAATGTATTTGTCTCCATCATTCATTAAATGAGATGAATACCTGTTCCTCCCTGGTAAAGCACCTTGGAGAGTCACAAGTGAAAAATGATGTCTAAAATCAGGCTTATTCATTTGCAGATCTGACATGGGAATGCTTTATGAATGGCTTTTAGGGGACGTGAAAACTTGAGCCAGGCTGCCCAAATATTTATAGCAGGGAGAGGACTGACTATTGGTAAAAACATCCCCATACCAGTTTGTTTGAAAGAAGTATACAGGTATTTAGGACCATGTGGAGGCCAGAACTTGTTCTTTCAAGAAACAGGTTAGGTAGAAATTGGATGAATGTGCATGCAGGTTACATCCTGTTTTTTGAAGGGCAGGATGTTAGGTGAGAGGGAAGGGGGGACAGATTGAAAACATAAATAACATACAGTGGGCAGGGACTCTGGCACTTAATATCCCAAGTTTTAAATGGAGCAGTGAATTAAGAAGACACTTTGTACTTTGAATGAGGAACTCTGGCCAGATATATAATGGGGGTCTCACAGGTGTTAAGTGAAACTGAATTACTAAAAGAATAGTGACTCTGCTAATAAAATCACTTCTATAAGGGTGCCTATTACATGTGTTTAAATGTTCTTTTTGCACAGAGGTCAGTCGGGTTTCTGTGGGTACACACAGTGTACTGAAACATTCTCAAGTCTATGACCCAGACTGGGCAGCAGACATGAAAGAAACTGGGTGAGACTTTAAGCGTAGGTCTGAATCTAGTCAAAATTTAATAAATCTATAAAGAGGTAAAAACAATTCTCGGGTTCCTGTCTTTGGAAGAAATAAATGGCTTATCTAACTGGAGCTATGTACACCAGTGCCTGGGATAAATTCAGATGGTATTTGAGAAACTGGCATTGGCAAGGGAACCTGGAAGTAAATCTCATTTCCCACTTAATTTGGCAGGCAGTATTTCTTACTCTTGGTATCTCTTAGGCTCCACAAATATACCAGAAGCAGCAGCCTTGCCTTGTTAAGTTACTTGTCTCTTCATCTGGAGGAGACATCGGCAGGAGTATTATGATAAACTAGGAAGTGTTCCAAGTGTGGCAAATTGGTCCTTAGGTTACTCTCAGGTTTTATTTCAGTGCCACTTGGACCTTTCACATGCCTTTCGGAAATACAGTGGTAGGATGGAGTGGAAGAGCCAGCAGAGTAGCTCTGCACAGTCATCAGTGGCTAGACTGGCTGTTGGATATGCTGGTGGTTTCAAGATTGTACTGTGGCTCTTTGCCGTGATGTCTCTTTTGAAAGGTTTTCACAACTCTTCTGCTATTCACTAGTTAATTAACACTTTCATAGTTTTAAAAAGAATATATTTGTACGATTAGGAAGCATATCCTTGAGATAGTGAAATTGAAAATATGAGGCAGAAAAACTCTTTTAAGTGACTTGTGAAGAAGATAAACTAATTATTGTTGGCAAACTGAGGAGCGTTGCTGGCCAGACGGATTCCAAATACTGACATTACATTTGTAACCTCTGCTTTTGGACTCCATGGTGTAGTCTGAATAGTACTTTGTGCTAAAGCAGACCACACCAGTCCTTGTAACCAAGAAATACTATTGAGCAATAGCTCAAATGTCTTGTGAATTCACTTGCAATCCCCTGCTAAAAGGGGAAATCTTCAGTGCTTTGGACTGATAAAATGGTGGTCGTTACAGCCATACAGTATCCCAGCCTGAGCAGGCATCACATTCTCTGTTCTCATCCTGAGCTGGCTTGCTTATATTTAGACTCTAGGTCTCTGAGGTGCCTTTATCAAATTTGCTTGTTTTGCATAAACAAAATAAATAATAATAAAAAACTTGCTTCAGCATCTTTTCAACCCCTTTCCCTGGACTGGAGAACGAACTGGGAGAGGCCCTGTGTTCCTACCAGCAGCGCGATGTATTTCCTATCAAGACGGAGGGGCTGAATGG